CAAACCCGGTTTTCTGACAGGAAACTTTCTTAGAGCCCTACAACGACGACAAACTTCCTCTGCCGGTTTACCTGCCTTGAGCGACGAAGCTAAAGCAGCACTAGAAAAAACCAAGTTAGATGGGAAGGCCAGACTTGAAGCTGTGACTGCTGCGGGTGGAACTGTTACTGATAGAGAAATATTATTGGTTATCAAGAAGGCTGCTGAGGAAAACCCCAAGAAGGATCATCCTAAGGCTATAACCGATGGATTCATAGCTCTCACAGACCAAAAGCTTGCTGAAGCCAAAAGCGGTAAATCTTCGTGAGTAACCCTTCTTGAATCATTTCTTTCGAAATGTTATCCTGACATGAAACTTCTTTAGATCACCACAACGACGACAAACTTCCTCTGAAGGTTTACCTGCCTTGAGCGACGAAGCTAAAGCAGCATTAGAAAAAACAAAGGCAGATGGGAAGGCCAGACTTGCAGCTGTGACTGCTGCGGGTGGAACTGTTACTGATAGAGAAATTTTATTAGTTATTAAGAAGGCTGCAGAGGAAAACCCTAAGAAGGATCATCCTAAGGCTATAACTGATGGATTTATAGCTCTCACAGACCAAAAGCTTGCAGAAGCCAAGAGCGGTAAATCGTCGTGAGTAACCCTTCTTGAAGCATATCTTTCGAAATCATATCCTGACATGAAACTTCTTTAGATCACCACAACGAAGACAAAATTCCTCTGAAGGTTTACCTCCCTTGAGCGACGAAGCTAAAGCAGCATTAGAAAAAACAAAAGCAGATGGGAAGGCCAGACTTGCCGCTGTGACTGCTGCGGGTGGAACAGTTACTGATAGAGAAATATTACTAGTTATCAAGAAGGCTGCTGAGGAAAACCTCAAGAATGATCACCCTAAGGCTATAACTGATGGGTTTATAGCTCTCACAGACCAAAAGCTTGCAGAAGCCAAGAACGGTAAATCTTCGTGAGTAACCCTTCTTGAAGCATATCTTTCGAAATCATATCCTGACATGAAACTTCTTTAGAGCACCACAACGACGACAAACTTCTTCTGATGGTTTACCTCCTTTGAGCGACGAAGCTAAAGCAGCATTAGAAAAAACAAAGGCAGATGGGAAGGCCAGACTTGCAGCTGTGACTGCTGCGGGTGGAACTGTTACTGATAGAGAAATTTTATTAGTTATCAAGAAGGGTGCTGAGGAAACCCCAAGAAGGATCATCCTAAGGCTATAACAGATGGAATCATAGCTCTCACAGACCAAAAGCTTGCAGAAGCCAAGAGCGGTAAATCTTCGTGAGTAACCCTTCTTGAAGCATATCTTTAGAAATCATATCCTGACATGAAACTTCTTTAGAGCACCACAACGACGACAAACTTCTTCTGATGGTTTACCTCCTTTGAGCGACGAAGCTAAAGCAGCATTAGAAAAAACAAAGGCAGATGGGAAGGCCAGACTTGCAGCTGTGACTGCTGCGGGTGGAACTGTTACTGATAGAGAAATATTACTAGTTATCAAGAAGGCCGCTGAGGAAAACCCTAAGAAGGATCACCCTAAGGCTATAACTGATGGATTTATAGCTCTCACAGACCAAAAGCTTGCAGAAGCCAAAAGCGGTAAATCTTCGTGAGTAAACCTTCTTGAATCATATCTTTCGAAATTTTATCCTGACATGAAATATCTTCAGAGCACCACAACGACGACAAACTTCTTCTGATGGTTTACCTCCCTTGAGCGACGAAGCTAAAGCAGCATTAGAAAAAACAAAGGCAGATGGAAAGGCCAGACTTGCAGCTGTGACTGCTGCGGGTGGAACTGTTACTGATAGAGAGATATTATTGGTTATCAAGAAGGCTGCTGAGGAAAACCCCAAGAAGGATCATCCTAAGGCTATAACCGATGGATTTATAGCTCTCACAGACCAAAAGCTTGCTGAAGCCAAAAGCGGTAAATCTTCGTGAGTAACCCTTCTTGAATCATTTCTTTCGAAATTTTATCCTGACATGAAACTTCTTTAGATCACCACAACGACGACAAACTTCCTCTGAAGGTTTACCTGCCTTGAGCGACGAAGCTAAAGCAGCATTAGAAAAAACAAAGGCAGATGGGAAGGCCAGACTTGCAGCTGTGACTGCTGCGGGTGGAACTGTTACTGATAGAGAAATTTTATTAGTTATTAAGAAGGCTGCAGAGGAAAACCCTAAGAAGGATCATCCTAAGGCTATAACTGATGGATTTATAGCTCTCACAGACCAAAAGCTTGCAGAAGCCAAGAGCGGTAAATCGTCGTGAGTAACCCTTCTTGAAGCATATCTTTCGAAATCATATCCTGACATGAAACTTCTTTAGATCACCACAACGAAGACAAAATTCCTCTGAAGGTTTACCTCCCTTGAGCGACGAAGCTAAAGCAGCATTAGAAAAAACAAAAGCAGATGGGAAGGCCAGACTTGCCGCTGTGACTGCTGCGGGTGGAACAGTTACTGATAGAGAAATATTACTAGTTATCAAGAAGGCTGCTGAGGAAAACCTCAAGAATGATCACCCTAAGGCTATAACTGATGGGTTTATAGCTCTCACAGACCAAAAGCTTGCCGAAGCCAAGAACGGCTAATCTTCGTGAGTAACCCTTCTTGAAGCATATCTTTCGAAATCCTATCCTGACGTGAAACTTCCTTAGAGCACCAAAATGAGACAAACTTCTTCTGATGGTTTACCT